CAATAAGATCACCCTGGAGCCTTCTCTTCTCTAGGCTGAACAGCCCCAACTCTCTGAGCCTGTCTTCATAGCAGAGGTGTTCCAGCCCTCGGATCAGCTTCGTGGCCCTCCTCTGGACCCACTCCAGCAGCCCCACGTCCTTCCTGTGTTGGGCACTCCAGAGCTGAACACAGATAAACCTCATGCCTTATCCTCCCTGTTGGGGCTGTGGCCACGGGGGTCCGAACCCCTCGCAGTGCAGAGCTGGAGCGATGCCTGACTGGAAAAGGGATGAGAGGACCGGAGCCCTACAGCTTTTGGCAGGGGAGGCCGAGGAGGCCATGGCCCTGAAGGGTGTTGTGTGGGGTGGAGGCCCGCGGGCAGGGTGCTGCAGTTTCCCCCCAGGAGCAGCAGGTGGCACTCCCAGCTGTTCCCAGGCACTAGGAAAGCTCTCGGGTACGTGTGCCGCAGGTCACTGCACCCCAAATCGTGCAGGTGCATCCCCTCATCGGAGTGCCGAGGGCAGGACCGCCTTCCCATGCTGGCCCTGTCCGTGCAAGGAATGCGCACACTGTGTCATGGCTTCAGGGGATCCCAGTGATGCCCATTCAACACCAGTTCCAGCTCCCTTCAGCCCTTGCACCTCTGCAGCCCTCTCCCCTGTGGTGATGGAGACACACACACACACATACATACCCAAAGGGGCGTTTAAATCTTTTTATAGAAAATGGCAACTGTACAGACACTTTTACACAGACAAGGGATGGGAAAGCCAAGGAAGAGGTCAAGCCTTCCCCTGCAGCACAGGCAGGGAGGGAAGGCAGCCTGGGTGGGAATGGAGATGCCTCCTCTCCTCTTGCAGCCCACAGCCAGACCTCCTGTCACACAACCAGGAGGCAAAAAGAAAACTGGCAGAATCACTCGGAAAAAAAAGAAAAAAAAAAGTAGGGAACAAAAGCAAGGAGGAGAGAAGGTAAGGTGTGGAGACCTTCTCCTCCCTTAGGTGTTGACTCTTTCTGTGGGTAGGACACAGATGTCTATGTCCCTGGGATGTTGCTGGGCAGAGGGATGTGTGCCTAGCAGAGAGCTGGCTGGGACTCTACTCCCCATCTGCAAGTCTCACCAGCAGGAGAAGTGGTATGGGATGTTTCCAGGCCCCCTGGAAGGAGAGGAATTTCCTAGGTGCCTTGGGGACAAGGGCAAGAGCAGGAGTAACACTGGTTACCAGCCTTCAACTCTGTTGGAGAGAAGGAGGCTGAGAATGGCTTTTGGCCTTGAGCTGGGGCAATTATGCAGCGTGGGAGGCAGCTGGACCTCTGTGAGATCCTGGGGGTCTTAGACACACACAGCATGGGGAAGGAGAAGGCACGTAGGCCTGAAGGCATCACACAGCCGAGCGTGGCAGGAGCCAGGCCAACCCTGCAGGAGTGGAACCATCCCTGGGTGTAACATCTGCCATGGCAGTGCAATTTGGCAGGGGTAGGCGTGAGGTGTCGTCTCTCCACGGCACCCAGGTGTCCAGGGCCTTGGAGGATGCGGATCTGTCTCGGTGTCCCTGCACCCTCCAGGTGCCTTTGCTAGATGAGCATTCGGAACAGGAAGGAGATGGCAGCTCCTAGGGCCAAGCCCAGTGACAGGAAAAAGGTCATAACGGCTCCAGCTGTCTCTGCTTCGTGGGCAAGCACTTTCCTAGGGGAGAAATAGGTGTCAGATCTCTCCTTGGCGAGGCGTGCCCCGTGCTCTGCCATCACTTCAATGGAGAGGTGGGAGGAGGCCACAGAGGAGCCAAAAGCTGTGCTCCTCTGCAGTAGAGGAATGGCAAGAGCAAATCCACCTTGGCTTCAAGAGTCTGGTTCCATGTTACGGGCTCGCAAAGAAAGTGCATCAGGCAGGCTGTTCTGAAGCTCCCGGTGCCAGAAACAACCCCCCTGACTCCTGCCCTGATGCACTGCAGCCCACCTGGCTGAGCCCCACCTGGGCTCCTCGTGCTGCCTGTGCTCTGGTGCTGGGCACAGCTGCCCACCCTGCTGTGGGTGCTGCACCACGCTTCACTCCCCTCCAAATCCCCACTGCATCCGGCCCCTTCCCCAGCATGGTGGGTGGGGGAAATGGAGAGCCCAAACGATAGCTTCCTCATCTATAGGACATGGAGGCACAAGGCTGGAGGCAGGACACTGGGGTTGTCTTCCCCGAGGTGGTGTGGCAATTCCCCTCTGTGCCTGCGTCCTCTTGGGGAGTCCAGACACCAGAGCTGGGCAGAGCCAGACCTCAAGTCGTGCTGGGGCTGGCCTCTGGGGGTGTAACCAACCTTTCCCCTGTTCCCAGCTCTTACTCACTTGGGCCCAAAGCACATGCAAAGGCTGGCCAGGTAGCCGTTGGAGAGAGAGAAGAAGATCATGAAGATGATGTACCAGGCGTCATGATAGAATACGACAGGCAGGTAGTCACGGGGCTGCACATTGCACAGCATGAAAAGAGGGATAAAGATGACACGGAGGGCCACCATCACTGGCAGGAGGCAGCTGTCCTTCCCCGGCTGGAAGAAAAACACAGGTCACTGAGCAGCTGAGAAGTGGACATTTGTCATCCCATGGCATGCTGGCAGAGGCTACAGAGGCTGTCCCTGCTGCACTGGGGCTGTGGAGTAGCCATGGAGAGGGCAAAGTTGCTGAGAGACTTTCTCTGCTGGAACAAATCTCAGCATCACCGCTCACTGTGGAAAGGAGGTCCTATGAGGTCTCACTACTGCCCTGTAAGTCCTATCCCAGCCAACTTAGAGTGCAGCAGCGCTGAAGCCAAAATACTGATCTGGGCTTGTGAGCGACTGCTAAGCCCTTGCTGGAAACAACAGGCAGGCAGGAGAGCCTCGTGCACGCTCACGCAGTCTTCTCCCACAGTGAACCACTCCGCAGGACAAGGCTGGCTGAGGTCAATCCCCTCTGGCACCTCCGGGCCTGCAAACTGGGCTCTAACCAGCTCTTCAGCCTCCCACGCCATACCCCAGCCAAGCAGGGCGAGATCCAGAAATCTGGGAAAGGGATTACATTGGAGATGTTTCGGACAGTGCTGGGAAAGGCACGGACCGAATTAAAGTCTCCTCGGATTCTAAAGGAATCCCTGAATGCCTGAGGCTGGGACAAAGAAGGAGGCACCGTCTATCTCTGCAGCCGGGACTGAAGCAGCCCTTGTACGAGATGTGCCTGGGTCCGTCCGGGATCCCCTCGGTGGGGTTCCAGGGTGGCAGATGACAAGGCTGACTGGTCTGGGGTCAGGAGAGGCCCACAGCTGCCTTGGGAACTGCCTGGGCTGGTGTAGCCACGGGACATTTCATGAGAACGAGGGGAAGCTGAGGTCAGGCCAGATGCCGTGCCTGTGGGCAAACCAGCAAGAGCAGCAGCCTCTCTGGCCCGAGGAGGAGAAAAAGAGCGAGCGGGGCCCCAACCAGGGAAATGAGGCCCAAACCACATGCAGTCAGACTTTCCACACAGCCTTGTTTTGGAAACATCTCCTGCTGGGTCATCCCATCAAGAAGGCTGCGGCCTGGACACCCGGCAACACGGCTCATGGCCAAGGCTGAGAGCAGCCAG